TGTGTGCTTGCGTGTGTGTGTGTGTGTGTGTGTGTGAGAGAGAGAGAGAGAGAGAGAGAGAGAATGAATTTGTGTATGTCTGCATCTTCTGGGACAGATGTGTGAACAGCAGGGCTAGAGTGTCCTAATGCATTTCTGTTTTCATGCCCTATCTTTATCAGCAGCATAGGCAAACCTCTAATAGAACATTTGCTACTTTTCTTGAGTGGAGGGAGCCAAACAATGCTTTCTTGTCCTGTTCTCCTTTTGTAAGGTTATGCTTACCTAGCAGTGAAGCCAGTACATTATCAGGTGATTACTGCAGATGCCTAACCCCCCACCCCAGACTTCCTTCTCTAGTGAGTCTTTTAAGATAGTAGAAATATCTACTGACTCTTATTCTTTTCTGTGGGGAGGAGAGGGTAACAAAAATATTAAATGGATGTATCTGTTAAAATTTGAATGGCATAATTTATTTTATAATCAAAATCTCCCTTTTTGACTGAATTTCCTCCTGAGTTATGGAGGAGAAAAACCATATCCAAACCCATGGAATGTCATTTGTATGTAAACTATCCAGAATATGTTATTTTGTTATAAAAGTACAAGTGGATTAAGTCTGTGGGCTAAGGATATAACTAAGAGATCAAATTTTCTTTGACTTCCCAAATGGCACTGTTTTCTTGACAGCTTGCTTAAAATATTTGTAAAATAGTTTTTAGACTAATTATAATTAAATAAATACATCACAGTAAAAAATTTCCCTTTTTACTTTAATGTGTAAAAACATTTCTCTATGTTTTATGGGAGGAACTTAGCCATTTACCTTTACATTTTCAGAAGCTTCCTTTTACTTAAACTAAGATCTCTACTAGAGAAGAAGCAAAAGATATCAGGAAAGACAAATTCTGATGTTTTGCAAGTATTTTCATAATCTAATCAGAAACAGAAATGTTCATGTTTCTTTTCTTCTTGACCACCTAATATTCTCATGTCTACTCTGAATCTTTGTATCTTCTTTAATATCATTTACAGGAGTTCCTGAGGCTGTTTTTTCAGTGTGTATTTAGTAATCCTATTTATAAATTGACTTTTTTCTTCCTTGTTTATTCTTTTGTCTATAGATTGTTTTTGGTCATCTTTCTTCATGTAATAGCTGGTACATTTACAATTTTTAAATGCTACTTAGCAAATATTCCATAGGCAAAGATGAGAAAATACTGCTTTGACTGAAACTGTTAATATTTATCACATAAGAGTCATTGTATTAACATCTGTATTAGCATATAGTGGATACAGCATCTCTTGGATATGTGAATATGAAATTATAGAGGAGTATAATAGTTACTTCCATGATATCTACTCCTAGATATGATAGTGCAGTCAATCCCCCCAAATTTTAATAGCTTATTATTTATCTTTATTTATTAAATATTAATAAATGTTATTTAAAAATATATACAAATTCTCTATATTATATAACATGCTTCCAGGCACAGATCTTATTTGTAGTATATAAAATCTTACTATTGGATCCTTCTGAAAATTCAGAGGTTTGAGTAGGCAAAAGGCACTACTCCATTCACAAACTATACAGGGAATTAAGCAGCTGCTGTCCTTGGTGATGAAATTATTTCATGTGACTTCTTAAAGAAAACAACTAGTTAAAAAAGCAGAATAATCTTGAATGTGCTGTTTGTGACTATTGTTGGTATCTTCCTAGGTCTATTTGAACTTCTAGAAAAATACAGACCCCAGTATCTTAATTTCTTGAGTTCCTGACTGCCAGGCAGAGGAAATGTTTAACTATTTTAATCATGTTTCTGTATCTCAAAAAGAAAGCCCTTATGAGAGGAAATGACAACGTCCTACCACAAAGTTATCTCTTATCAGTTATAGTCTCAGTCGATAATGATTTGTCAAATTTGGACATGTGTAAAATGCAAGGTCTGTGTTATTTACTTTGGAAAGGAAAAATTAGATGAAGCAGATAAAGAAGGAGTCATGGCTTTTGTTAGGAGACAGAAACCATTAGAGACAGTCATTGTTAGCTTAGGAAAGTGTCCTTGGACCCCTCCCTGTTGAAACCCAAACCTGCTTGAGTCATTCTTTGCCACTTGAGGGGAGGGAGGGGCAAAGGTAGGGAAGAAGTATGAAGACAGCTTTGACTGGGAGTTAGCATTTTAAATAGCTGAATGTGGACCTTAAAGCAGAACTATTGCTCTGAGTCAGGAAAAACTGTCTTTTGTTCTGATCTTCTTGCCTGCCCCCGTTTATTTACATTCTGGAAAATTCATTTCTTATCCTTGCAGCCGTGTAGCATTCCTTCACGTACAGCATGTGTTGTTCTCCTTTTGCCTTTCTGTAGATGTAAGTGATTCTTTTTCATTAGTGGAAGCAGAGAAAACACATCTAGCTCAAAGCAACATGAGTCAGTGCATACTTTACATACCTCCATCCTCACAGCACTCTTCTGGGTTCCTCACAGTGTTCCTTCCTAGGGTTTCTCACAGAGGGGAGCAGAGAGGAAAAATGATTTCTAAATATGAGGCTGCTAGGGGAGTAGAGGTGAAGATTGTGAGCTGACGTCCTGCTTTTCTCCTTCATTTTTTGGCCTAGATTTCTTTGTACTGCTTTCAAAGCAGGCAGTCCTTTACTTGGGAAAAACTTAGCCTGATGATCATTCCAGAGGTTAAGAGATAGAGTTGATATCTTAGGTCAGAGCATTTAACAGTTGGAAGTTGATATAAAGATATCAAAAAACCTCACATAGAATAGGTTTGATTGGAAATATTTGTTGGTGATGATGGAAAAAACTTTCGTCATTTCTCTAGATACATCTTTTTTTTTGGGGGGGGGGAGTACAGATAAACCAATCTTTGTCTGTTAGTAATAAGTCTCTTTCTTTGTTAAGGGATCTATTAACTTATTGGCTACAACTTTCTAGGGAAACTTTTCCTTGGAGTGGATGGTCATTCTATTAAGGAAGGGTCTGACTTTTGCAAGGCTCTGTCTGAGGAATCGTTGCAAGCAGTTTCCTTTTAAGTGAAACTATGGCTCTGTGATAAAGTAAAACAAAATAAATTGCATGAAGAAGAACATATAAAACAAAGTTATGATTGAATTTGCTAATAAAAATTAGGTATGAAATTCTTTAAACTTTTTTGTGAATATATATTAAGTAACTTCCTTATAATCCTTATTTCTAAATAAAAGAAAAATATTTTATTTCCTATGCACATCAAACTTATTTATGCTATATATTTGTGTTTTTTAAATTTTCTAGTTGTAGATGGCATAATACCTTTATTTTGTTTATTTTTACGTGGTGCTGAGGTTCAAACCCAGTGCCTCACACTGTGGTAGGCAAATGCTCTACCAATGAGCTACAACCCCAGCCCTATGTTATATATTTCTTCTTTGTTGTTTTTCCCTATGCATGTGTAATTTTTATGTAGTTTTGTGGATATGATTTTTTAACATGTTAAAACATGTTAAAACAATAGACATGAAAAACAATAGATTGTTTTTCTTTTGAGATTATGTTTTGCTTAGCTGTAGACTCTAGTATTTTGGTAGGCTAAAACCCATGTTTTTTTGGCAAGATAAAACAGGCTCTGGTTTTTTTTGCAAGATAAATTTCCTTCAAATATCCAGTTTGTAATAGGAGGGGTGACCATAAAGGTGGTTTAATGTTGGGGTCATTTCATATAGGGAGGGACTATAATGATCACTTGGTGGCCCTTTTTAAGTAAACTTATTCACATAAAATTTTGTTTTGTTTATTTATAGCGCATATAGCACAGTGAGGTACTTTATAAATGGAGAGATTTAATTTTTGCCATCATGGGTGTGAAGTATATGAACAGAATGTTCCATTGATTCAAAGCAGTATAGAGATATGATGGTTTGAGAGGGAAAAGAAACTAAATCCTGTGCCACTGAATTGTGGAATTTGTAGATTTCATTAAGAAAAGCATCTTGGTTACAGAAGGTATGCCCTTCAAAGAGAAATGTGGTTTACTTTATGAAATAAAGGAAACCAACATTGTCATTATGCATGAGCATAACTCAGTTGAGATGAGCCTGTTGCTTAAGTTCTGAGAATCATATAGTTGCCAGTGCCATAATAAAAACATCAGTGGGGCCTTTATTTTGATTACTTCTTCATGTATTTTTCTTTTCCTTTTTGGTGTGTTCAACATTTATTTGCAGCGTCTTCTTTTATTCTTATTGAATCCCTATGTATCAACTGATGGCTCTCTCTTTTCAATTGAGGAAAGCTAGGCCAAAGTAAACTGTGACCTACTCATTGTCAAGTCACATAGCAAATTAGTTTTGGCACTGAGACTTGACTCCAGTTCTCATCTAATTTTTTTTCTTTTATTGTCTGAGGGTCTAGATTTAATCAACATACATTATTCACATTCAATCTGCTGGTATTACTACGTTTGGCAATTTTATTTATAATCCTTTTTTTTAAAAAAAAATTATCTCCCCTCCTTTCCTAGAATATTTCTGTATTTCATTGTATAATGAATTAATTATTTACTAATTTTTGTGCCCTTCTGAAGTTGAATGCAGGCCATTTAATTCATCCTGTGTTGCAAGATTTGTTTTTGACTAGTGAAACTTTTTTGTTTTTTAATGTAAACTACCATGTATCTTAGAATAAAAAAGTCAAGTCATCAGAGTCATATTCTCACATTTTTTTGTATTTTCCCTTTAGAGTCCTAGGGCCCAAGAAGTATGTCTTCAGTGGATATAACAATGCCATCTGTTTCTCTTCTCTGCTATCCATCCTGTGGCTTGGCCCAGCCATGGTGTATACCTTCACAGTTTATTAATCTCTTAACTAGAATAACAGAACTAGGTGTTTTGAGGCATAGCTTTTGTTTGTTTTGTATTCACACTTAGAAGCTAATGCTGATTTTGTTAAAACACTTGAGTAATAAAAAATGCATAGTTACTCTTAATAGCTCTTTTTGAAAAATATTTTAATGATAATCTTGTGTTTGCAGGTCCCTGGGGCCCAAGATTTGGTGGACTTCTCTCCTGTTTATCGATGTCTACACATATATTCGGTTCTGGTGAGTCTTTATCTGGCTCTGCCTAATAAAGATATTTATTTTTCTGTTTATTATTAAGCATGGAATGAGAAATTAGTGTGTTCAAGGAGTTTTAAATAATTCAGTCTGTTCTTGGTTCTTGAATTTTTATGTTTGCTATGTAATATGCTATAGATAGTGGTATTTCTATCAGTCATCCTCAAATTAGTAGATTATAACTAGGAATGTAGCCAGTGCCACAGTAAAAACTTCAGCTAAACATCAGTAAGAACACATATCTCATATTAAAACAGTGTTTGTGAAAACTATTTACATGTACATTTTTTATTCTGAGGACATTTATTCCTTTTGTCTTATAAAAACACATGGGAAAAAGAAACTGAGTGGAAATATGGGTTTTAATAAAATTCCAAGAAATGACCCCTTTCTCTATCCTCGTGAGATAACCACATGTAGATACACAGATGAACACAAAATAACCTAAACTGTAGCATTAACAAAGACAAATTGATGAGAGGAGTCCATTCTTGTTATTTTTTTATAGCAAAGTTGTATGAAGCCTGTGTCAGGTTGTTTTTCACATGTTCAAGTATGTCTTACTGCTCAGTCTGTTTTCTTCCTTCATATATATAATGTAGCATCACTTAGTCATCACTCCAGTCCTTCTAGGACACTGATCTATGGATGTTAATGGCCTGAAGTATTTTGTGGTAGTCTCCATTGGTTTAAGAAAAGACCTACTGGCTTCTAGCCCTTCCCCTCCCACTGTTTCTTCCTCCAATCTCTTCCCCTCACTGTCTTCTCCCTCTCCATTCTCTCTCTCTCTTATCATCTGTCATTCCTTATGAATGAAGATGAAGCCAGGTGTAAACTGAATTGTATCAAGGCATTTAAAATAAGTCCACAATTTATTTTTAATCTCACATATAGAGAATCATATAAATCACATGTATCTTAGGTTATGGCACAGTATTATTATTTTATACAACACTATCTCTTGTATTTTAGTTTATTAGGTTTTTCTCATTCATTCCCTATCAACAAACCTCCTTGTCTCTTTTCCATGTATGCTGACTCCTATGTGTTTTTTAAAAATATTTAAGTTGTTGATGGACCTTTATTTTAATCTTTTATTTATATGTGGTCCTGAGAATCGAACCCAGTGCCTTACACATGTGAGGCAAGTACTCTACCACCGAGCCACAACCCCAGCCTTCTCTTACATGTCTAATGGTCATGAATGTGTATATGTGTCCTTGAAAAGAGTATGGTGATTTTTTTATATTTATATTTTAGTTGTAGTTGGACATAATACCTTTATTTTATTTATTTATTTTTTATGTGGTGCTGAGGATCAAACCCAGGTCCTCACATGTGCTAGGCGAGCTCTCTACTGCTGAGCCATAACCCCAGGCCCAAGTATGATGATTTTCCTATATGTATATGTTTTTAATTTACTCAAATGGTGTTAGGCTGCGGCTCTTGTTTTGTTTCCTGTATTTTTGGTTCAGCACTATTTTAAATATCTATCCTTATTAGAATTTACAAATCTGGCTCATTTCCTTCTACTAATGCATGATAGTTAATTGAGGGTTTGCATTTGCTGTGATTTTATTATTTATTACTTTAGTCATTAACACTTAAATTGCCTCTAGCAATTTGCTGTGGCAGATAGTTCTCCCTGATGGGTTCATGAGAGTTTTTATGGTTTCTATACCTAGGAACAGAATTGTTGAATCATAAGGTAGAATACTTAATTTGTAATTTTTTGGTAACCTGATATTGAATGAAATCTGTTTTAATTTGCATTTATTTTACTACTGGTAAAAATTGTGCTTTACTTTATAGAATTACTTATCATTTATTTCCTATTTTTAACGCTTACTTTGTGTTTATATTGAGCTTATTGTCTTTATTTCCTTTTTCCAAAAGAGAAATTTGTAAATATTGACAGTTTAGGATGTTGAAAATATTTGTTTTTCCAATTTGTTGTCAGATCCTAAATTTATGTTTTTTTTCATGAAACAGAATTGGTAGTTTTGATGTAATCTACTCCATCAATTTTAGCCCAATTTTGGTTTATAGTTTTTGAGTTGTGTTAAAAAAATTCTGTCTGTCCCAAGGTCACAAAATATTTCCATGATATTACTTATAATATTTGCCATTTATTTTTTCCAGTCTCAAGTATTATTATTCATTTTGATTTTCAATTCACTCAATTTTTTCCTCAGCATGAAGTGGATTTGGAGAGACAAGGATGTATAAATAAGTGAAGTACTTATGCTTCAAATGATTTCAATATACTAGGAGAGAAGTTACATTCTTTGAATGACTAATATAGTAGCACCATATCTCATCACTTTTGTGTGCTAGTTTTTATAAGCTTTATTAAGATTTTATAATATGAAAATATAACATTTGCCTCAAATGAGAATTCTAAAGTGATTCATGGATGTATTGGAATATTAAGTTAGAAATCTGGTTGTACATGGTGTTAGAGTATCCTAGCTTTTTCAATTATGAAATGGGATAATAATTACTTGCTTAGTACAGTTATAAACATTCAATGAATAGTGCCTAACTCAGCCTTTTGCAAATAATTGGCATTTAATAAATGATATCTGTCTGGTGAGAGGTGTGTTATCTCAGATACTGGTGGTTAGATACAGTACTGGTATTTTAAAAAGTATGCATAGGAGTTCTGGTCTCTGTCTTTGACATGCAAATTTTATAATTGTAAAAAATGTATACATTCTTAATTGAACAGTAACTATGAAGTTCTAATCTATGTGGGAGTGAGGGCATATTGGTAATTCTTTAGAAATGATGAAGTTCTTCCTGGAGGAGGACCTTAAACTGTCCATTTAAAAGTAAATACTAGAGGCTGGATCTGTAGCTCAGGGGCAGAATGCTTGCCTAGCATGTGTGAGGCACTGGGTTCGATCCTTAGCACTGCACAAAAATTAAATAAATAAAATAAAGGCATGATGTCCATCTGCAACTACAATTACACATTAGTGTTCTATACTGTTGAAATATTTGATATTCGTAAATTTTCTATAATTTATAAGGCATTGTTTGCATGGCAGAAACAGGTCCCTTCATAGTGTTCTGTAGTTTAGAAAAGGTGCAGCGAGTGGCTGGAACTTAGCTCTGGTTTTTGGAATGTATGTTAATATTTTAAATGTTGCTGTACCAGACCTGTCGGGACTTTGAATAAAATCTCCAATACCACTTTACTAAAGGAAAGGCCAGATCATGTGTCACTTACAGTGCTGGCTTCAGTGTGTTTTGGGGACTGTGCTTTGTTTTTCTCTGTATTTGCTTCCTCATTCTCAAGTCATTAATTTGCTTTACTGCATGGTAAATTGTAGCTCCTCATAATATTAACAACAAAGATATTTTAAAAGTGGGTTAGTAATATAAATACTATCATTTTTTTAAATTTTATAACATAGTTAATGTTAGGCCTTAAGAAAGATGATTTGAGTCTATTGAGATAGGGGGACTAAGAAGAAAATAAACCTTATTTCCTCATTCCTTTATATTCCAACACTTGACTCTGCTTCACAATTCAGTTTTTCATCAGTCTAGTGTGTTTTTCTTCCCTGCCTTGCTTCTGTATCTTACTGGACCTTCTGACTTTGACGTTGTTGGTCATTTTTGCCTTTTAACTCATAATCCCATTGTCTTCCTTTATACTGTTTTTCTTTCTGATAGTTGGTGCCTGTTTTGTTCTTTGTGGGCTCTGTTTCTTCTTTGCGTCCCTCGCTGTTCCCAGGGTTCTACCCTTGCTTCACTTCTCTTCTTTGTTTCTTGCCTTTCCTAAAAGATATAATCTACTCTCATGGTTTGCAGTATTTGATAACTTTCTTTTTTGGTACTGGTGTTGAACCCAGGGGCATTCTATCACTGAGCTACACCCCCAGTACTTTTTGTTTATTTATTTTATTTTGGGACAGGGTCTTGTTAAGTGCTCAGACTGGCCTCAAATTTGCTATTGTCCTGCCTCAGCCTCCTGAGTCTCTAGGATTACAGGTATTTGCCACTGTGCTGAGCTGAAGGTCTAATAACTTTCAAACCTGTATTTTCACTCTTTGACTTTCCCTTGAGATTGAAACATGTGTATATAATCATCTACTGGGGCAGGGGGTGTAGCTCAGTGGTAGAGTATGTGCTTAGCATGCACAAGGCCCTGGGTTTGATCCCCAGACCAGAATTAACCAAAAAACAAAACAAATCAAAACCGTATATTGAACCTAATCCTTTGGAGATTATACAGGCTATCTCTGTATGTTTCAAAAGAAACTCTTTTTATCTCTTGCCCCCACCCTCACCCATTCTGCTTCTCCTGAGTTTCCAGTGGTCTCAGGTAGGAATAGCATCATGTATCTAGTCACCAGCCAGAAACTTAATCTCATATTTTTTATCCGTGCCGTATCCAAATCTCCAAAGTTTGCAAATGTGACCTCCTGAATGTAGTTTAATTTTTTCACATCATCCCTACCCCCAAAATATAGCCCTAGTTCAGTATCCTTAACTCATCTTCCTACTCTCAATCTTAAACCCTTAACTCAGTTCTCACCAGGGTCCTAGTAATCTAACATACAAATCTAACATATGTGCTTAAAATTCTCCAATTGGTCTTCTGTAGGGTAAACTATAGAAATATGGAAGAAAATGTAGGGTATAGAAGGTCTTCCATATTTCCTTTTGCTTACCACCTTGACTTCATATCCTGGAATGTTTCTGATTCTTTCAATATAGCATGCTGTTTTATGCCTTTCATCCTTTCCTTATGCCAGGTGTTCTGCTTGAATTAATGTTCCCATTTCTTTTTATTTTACTGATTCTTATTTTATATCCTTGTGTCCTCCAGGAGTTTTCCCTGATGTCCCAGGTGAACTCATTGGACCTCCTCCTTCACTCTTATACTAGGACCCAGCACATATTTGTATCAGTGCTAACTGTATTGTATCATCATCTTCTAAATGTGCCTTTTCTTCAGTAGATTGTAAGCT